CTGGGTAGACAGATACTGCAAGGGGAAATTGCAAACCCCTTCATTGAAACTGGAAAAAACTTTTTTTGGCAAAAATGATATGTATGAAGGGATGGGGTTCATCTTCTGGGGCAGGGGTGGGGAGCACTTGCAGATCGATTGGGGAAGGCCCTTGGTTTAAAAGCCTAAGATTTTTAAAAATGTGGAAGATAGAGGTATGGGTGTGTGTGGGAAAAAAGCAGGTTGCAACCTAGGGTTGGGAAAAAAGTAAAATTTTAAAAGGCATTCAAAAATTTAAGTTAAAATAAAGAAAAATAGAAAGGTCGGGAAAAAAAAGGGGGACAGCAGAGGGCAGCAAGGGACAAATCCCCTTTAAAGGGGGACTATACTAATAGCAGGGGGTGTTAGAAATAAGATAGATGAGTAAGATTTAAATTTCAAGTGCAGGAAAAATTTGTATTTTGCTATAACAGGACCCGGCTCAATCTGAAAGATAGAGAGATGCCCTCGAATGTCACTACAAGGGTATAAAATATTCCAAACTGCCGGGGCAAAAGGAAAAAAGGGGGTGGAGTAGCGATGTATGTCAGAGAAATTTAATTAAAATTTTTTTTGGTTAGGGAAAAATATTAAATTAGAAAAAGGTTTAGCCACTGAAACTGTTTGGTTACAGCTTTCGGGGCCGAAAAAAAAACTAATTTTTGGGTGTGATTTACAGGGCCCCCAAAACTTGATAGGGGTGCAGTAAATTTCTAGGGGACGAAATTCGTAGGCTCTCATCGAAAATGTTGTGCTAAGGGGGAATTTCAACTATAGACAGATTGATGGAGCAATTTTGACGGGAAATTTTAGGGGTGTGATTTTCTTGATACGATCCAGGATTTTTTTTTTTAAAAACAGTTTGTGACAGAGCCAACAGGGGAAATAACCCCCTTGCTTGGTTCTTGCCAGTAGGGAAACATAATTTAAAAATTTTGGGTTATGTGAGTTGGGGAGAGTGATCACAAATCACTCTTTTTAACAATCATGGAATTCCCTAAAAATGGAAATAAAGTCTCGCCCCTGCTTTCGTTTGGCTGATTCATAGGATGAAAATTTTACTTAGGTGGGTGAACTGGAATGACTGACTAGGGGTCAGGTAGGGGTGTTGGTTCCGATATGATGCTTTCCAGGGCATAGTTTAGCTGCTCAGTCAAATTATTTTCCCAAAATAGGGAAATCGATCAAACAAAAATGATCCAAAATGGATGAACAATGTTTAAAATATTGTTTGGTCAAAAGGGCATATATAGGCAAATAAAAAGGGAGAGGGGCAATTAAAGAAATCGATATATTCATTTAAAAGAGAAAATAAAAAAGGGAATTAGAAAAGCAAAAAAAATTTATGGGGTTTTTAAAGTTGAAGAGAATCGAAGACAAACCCCAAAAGGATTCTTTCGGTATACGAAGTGTCAGGGAAAGATAGGCCCACTCAAAATTTCCCTGGGTCAGCTCATGAAGTGAAAAGGGAAAATGTTTAGAATTTTTAAACATACTTCCTCTCGTTTTTACACGGTGGTCAGTGATTTTCCCAGTAATGTAAATTATGTAAAACGGGACGAAAATAAAACTGTGCACTTTAGGGTCAAAAGTGACTGGTCCTTAGGCAAATAGAAAAATTTAAAAACCCAACAAATCCCCAGGCCCTGATGAACTGTATGCAAGGGTTCTAAAGGAATGTAAAGGGGTTTAGAACCCCTTTGGCTAATCTTTTAAAATATCACTAAAAACGGGCATGGTCCAGATAAGTGGAAAATGGAAATGTGATACCTATTTTCAAAACAGGTGAAGGTCCCTTTGCTTCGAACATAACCATAAGCCTAACCTCCCTAGTGGGAAAAAAATTTGGAATCAATAATTGCCCAGGAGTTGTAGCCACCTTGAAAAACAAAAATTAAAACAAAGAATTCAGCATGGTTTTACAAAGGGACGTTCCTGCCTTTCGAATTTATTAACTTTTTTCATAAAGGTATTTGAGGGGGTAGATCATGGTAACGAAATGATATTGTGTATAGGACTTCAGTAAGGCTTTTGACAGGGCCCCATCAGAGACTATGAGGAAAATTTTTAAAACCAAAGGAATAGGAGGAGAAATTTTTTCCTGGAAGAGGCATGGGTTTACAAAAAGGGAGAGGAGTTTGATTAAAAAGGGGAGAAATCAGAGTGGGGAGCGTCCGAGCGGTGTTCCACGGGTCAAATGTTGGGCCCCCCGCTGTTCACAATCTTCTAACGAATGATGAGGGCATAAGAGCGAATCGGCAAGTTTGCCCAGCACCAAATAGGCCGTCGAATTTCATTTTGCGAGGACATTGAGCATCCAGGAAGATTTTTAAAGTGTGCAGTGGTCGGGAAGTGGCAGATGCAGTTTAATTAGACAAATGCAAAGTTCTAAAAGTTGGACAGGACAATAACCATGCCACATAAAAAACTAAAAAATGTAGATCTTAATATTAGGGAAATTGCGAAAAAGATTTAGGAGTTCTGGTTAGCAGTAATCTGAAACCAAGACAACAGTGCATAATTTGTTCGCAATTAAAGCTAATAGAATCCTTGGCTTCATATCAGAAGCATAAATAATAGGAGTCCTCAGGTTGTTCTTCAACTCTATACATCCTTGGTTAGGCCTCATTTAGATTATGCTGCACAGTTTTGGTCACCGTATTACAGAATGGATATAAATTCTCTGGAAAATGTACAAGTGGATTGACAAAGATGATCCCATGTATCAGAAACCTTCCCTATGAGGATAGACTAAGGGCCCTGAAACTGCACTCTCTAGAAAGACGTAGAATTAGGGGGGATATGATTGAGGTTTATAAGTGGAAGACAGGAATAAATAAAGGGGATGTAAATAGTGTGCTGATAATATCTAGCCTAGACAGGACTCGCAGCAATGGTTTTAAGTTGGAAAAATTCAGATCAGGAGGGATATAGGAAAGTACTTTGGGTTTTGGGAATAGAGTTGTGGATGAGTGGAACAAACTCCCAAGTACCGTTATAGAGGCCAGAAACGTTTTGTAGCTTTAAAAATAGGTTGGATAAATACATGAGTAGATGTGGGTGGGTGTGAGTTAGACCTGATAGCTTGTGCTAACCCGGGTCGGGGTTTCCGTGTTCCTCCCTTGAGTCAATGTGACCTGACCCCGACTAGGTTTGGGTGCATTGGCTTAAGCCCGGGAGGGACTTGGACCTGCCTCGCATGGGCCAGTAGGCCTTCTGCAGTGTTCCTTCGTTCTTATGTTTTTATGTTCTTATATGCTTTCCCTGTCATTCTCTTTGATCCATTCTCTCTAAAAGACCAAACCACCTCAACAACCCCTCTTCTGCCCTCTGACTAATGCTTTTATTAACTCCACACCTTCTCCTAATTTCCACACTCCGAATTTTCTGCATAATTTTACACCACACATTGCCCTTAGACGGACATCTCCACTGCCTCCAACCGTCTCCTCGCTGCTGCATTTACCCCCCAAGCTTCACATCCATATTTAAGAGTGTTGGTACTACTTACTTTCAACATTCCCTTCATTGCCTCCAAGATAAAGTTTTTTGACTCCACATATACCTCAACGCACCACTCACCTTTTTTCCCTCATCAATTCTATGATTAACCTCATCCTTCATAAATCCATCCGCCGACATGTCAACTCCCAAGTATCTGAAAACATTCACTTCTTCCATACTCCTCCTCCCCAATTTGATATCCAATTTTTCTTTATCTAAATCATTTGATACCCTCATCACCTTACTCTTTTCTATGTTCACTTTCAACTTTCTACCTTTACACACACACACACACAATATATATATATATATATATATATATATTATAAGACGCAACAACTGCGTATTGAATGGGATGCAAAAGTAAAGACTGTTGCCTATAATAAACTTACGGCATAGTATTGGATAGAATTTCCTCTTGGAGCAGTCGCTTTCATAGCCCTCATCAATCACACTTGAGCGATTGTATGGAGTCATGTAGATTCTCATTGAATAATTGTCAAAATAAAAATGCATTACCCCATTTCAGTCCTTTGAGGTGCATCAAATTACTGATAAATCACCACAACCATCCCTCAGCAATTTGATAAAGTCAACAAAGGACAAGTTCCCAAGAACATCCTCCCTTTGTACTGTTTTAGGACTCACTGAACTGTACCACAGAAAAAAAATAATTGTGTCCACCTTTAGGGGCAATTAAATTCACCTCGGTATATTCAACTTTTCACAAATATTGAAGAATATGGTCACCCCATTTTATATATGCTGATTCGCTGGTATATGTTGTATACTTTGAAGAATAAAAAGGCACAACACCATGACGAACAATACACAAAACCTGTACAAAGGGGAATGAAACTTATGACGACGTTTCCGTTCAACTTGGCCTAGTTAGTTAATGGTCAAAGTCAAACCGAAACGTCGTCATTAGTATATTCTCCTGAACGTTGGTTACTGGTGTTGTATGCTTTGATTTGTTAGTGTAGGTTGTGAGCACACGATAGCCTGAGTAATCCCGAAACTAAACGGTAACTTGATATTATCGATGGACCCAGCCTACATCGAGCATACTGCATATATCCCCGTATCTGACTGCCTGAACTGAACATTATATACTAAATGTATTTGATTACCTATTTGCAGTTACAAGAGCAGAACTATGCTCGTCGAGTCGCCTTCAGTAATATCATCAGGTAATGTTTTATATTGTTCTAGGATTTCTTTACTATTGTTCTTTTACCCTGTTTTGCACACAACTGGCAGTCACATAGATCCAGGGAGTAAATACACAATTTAAACATAACAGATCTGAAAGTAGATTTACATATGTAAATATGCATAAACCGGGGAAATGAAACCAAGAAATTATCGGCGTTAAATGAAAATTCTGGCATGGTTTACAAATAGTAGGAAGAAAAGCTTCGAAAATGCAAGCTAATACAGGTTGTCAGGGGTTGAAACTTTCCCCTATATATCACATCCAGAGTTGGCCTTCGGGCGCCACTCGCGGCCTACACCACACGGCAGCTCTCCAAGACCAATATCTTCCCCCTTCTCACCACCCAGTCTCACACGGTTACCATCGATAACAACCACACCACATACCAAAATCTGCACCTTCAACCCACAATCACTAGATGCAACTGCTGAAACAGCCACTACTGCAGCAGCAGCCAAAACTCCAACAGAAGATGAAATAATTAATCAAGAAATTAGGATTTAATTAAGCGAAGAGTGTATGACCAGTATAACAAATAAACAATACATGAGCACGTGAAACTGGAGAAAAGGCAACAGCAGTAACCATGTTAAATCTGGAAGTCATAAAATAAAAACAGCTGAAAGTTCAACAGCAACAGCAAAAAAGCAGTAGTTTGCAACAGTAAACAAGAATGGGAACAGAAGCTGGTCAAACACTGAGAAAAAATGCACTGTTAAGAGAAATATGATCGATTGCATGAGGTGATAAAAACACAGGAAACAAATACAAACGAGGAACAGGAGGTTGAGGAAATATCCAGATCCATTCCACAGTGAGGAACACTGAAGTTGACATCTTTGGAAACTAATGTTAAGATGCACAAATATATGGCTAAGAAGAGGTACTCCATAAGGACTTGCCCAGCATGGGCCAGGCAGTGTTCCTCCATATGATCTGTTGCTATTACTGAATTATTCAAGTGTGTGAACACATAAATATTAAAAAAGTCAAGTTTTAACAAGTTCTTAAGGTACACTCCAGGTAGTATTCCCATGGAACTATGACTAGTTTATCATCAGATTCGGTGAGCAATATATGTCGAAAAATGACTGAAGTAGTGCCATTCCAGGAGAAACTAATAAACGAAAGTTTTAAACATAACAGTAAGAATAGAAGTAATAATAATATTTATAAAATCTAAGCAATCTATGTGAACATTCAAACGGTATAAATTACCGACAGGTTGTTAGGTACGACACACATGCAACAGTTAGGTATCTTTATTTCGAAACGTTTCGCCTACACAGTAGACTTCTTCAGTCGAGTACAGAAAAGTTGATAGAAGCAGAAGATACTTGAGCACGATGTAATCAGTCCATCACCCTTGAAGTTTTGAGGTGGTCAGTCCCTCAGTCTGGAGAAGAGTATTGTTCCATAGTCTGAAACAATATGGAGTTGAAGTGACAGGATGGAGCCTTATATAACGCCAGGAGATGAGATGTAGGCCACTAGTAGAGGTAAGAATATTGTCGTTGGAAGGTCAGGTCCCTCTCAAATCCAGCCATTCTCACTAGTAGAAGTTGACAGTTGATTTCAGGTCTGTACCAAGATACCCTTGGTACTAGTGAGAATGGCTGGATTTGAGAGGGACCTGACCTTCCAACGACAATATTCTTACCTCTACTAGTGGCCTACATCTCATCTCCTGGCGTTATATAAGGCTCCATCCTGTCACTTCAACTCCATATTGTTTCAGACTATGGAACAATACTCTTCTCCAGACTGAGGGACTGACCACCTCAAAACTTCAAGGGTGATGGACTGATTACATCGTGCTCAAGTATCTTCTGCTTCTATCAACTTTTCTGTACTCGACTGAAGAAGCCTACTGTGTAGGCGAAACGTTTCGAAATAAAGATACCTAACTGTTGCATATGTGTCTTACCTAACTAAGCAATCTATAATTGGTTCCCATCACTTTATGACTTATGGCTTTAGCTTTTGGTTATGATGATGATGATAATTATGATAATAATTGGTTCAGAGTATTTTGCAACAATTGTAAGATTTGCTGCAAATGTATAACGAAGTAATACCTAAATATTTCAAAGCCAAGGATGGAGTTGATTTCGCAAATAGCGTAATAAATATTTTGGCTAAAGCACAAGGTCTTTATGGCGCTTTATTCACTCGCAGTTTGAGTGTAGCTGTCAAAGTTGAAAAACCGAAGTGCAATTGAATCTCTCCCCCCTATCTAACACAACCTGCATCACATTACACACTCCCGCTCCCAATAACACTACTGCTGAAAAAGTCACCGTCCACGCCTATATTTAATTCATCAATACCCTATCCACCCCTACTTCCTCGCAATGCATAACTTACTTCAGCCTGCTTATATGTACATAAACGAATCCCATCTTCCTCCCACTACACATTCCCGTACTACCATAAAAAAAATTCAACCTTTTCGTGCGACTCCAGCAACAACCTCATTCATTACCGTCATTACGCTAAACATGACACAATATACTGCTATAGTGAAAAAGTGACAAGGTAAAATGAGTATAAAAAAAGGAGGTAGTTTAATGCACGCAGGACAGTGACCCCTCCATGCATAAATGGACGAGCAGAATAACTCCACGGGCCCCACACAGTATTGATTACCCTCATGGGGTACAGTATCAAAGGCGAGGCCAGGGAATGCTATTATATGGGTACATCTGTATTGTGCTGTCACCCTATTTTATAGGAATGCAACTTACAAGGAAAAAAACTAGCTGTTTCATTATATTTCACATGGGATGGGTCTGTGCATACGGAAATAAAATCTACTAGTCTTTGCTACATGACTTCAGTAAGTCGATTAGAATATCAAGCATTTCTCTATGGGTTTAAGCTTCACGTTATATTCACCTGCTTCTTAGCTATGATTCGTCAGTGACCAGGGTATCTCTTACGTCAGCGCGAACAGGAGCTTCACCAACGTGATGCCTACATTACTTCCCTGGCCAATTAAATTAGATTTTATCGCTCTTCCACAATTGGATGAACTTTCTATTTAACACCAACATTGTCACAGTGATTCTTATCTGTCGTCTGTTATAAGAAAAATCCTCGAGAAAGTGACCAAGACTTGGGACAATGTGCATAAAAAAAAAAAAAAAAAGGCAAGTAGCATCTACCCCCGCTGCTGACTTTTAAATTAAGAGTTTTTTGCTAAAAAAAATGCTTGCTCTGAGTTCTTCTATTTCTTTATCACCTGTCAGAATTTTATTAATATTCCAAAGTACAAAAGTAATAATTTGTATTACAATGCATTAGCTCCGCTGCAGAGAGGAATTGCGACGCAGTTAATCAAATTCCAAGACCTGCAACACGATATCATGAGCTGACTTACGCCAAGTTTATGCCACCCACTACATTTATAAAACTACACTTGAAGATCTTCAATACTTAATAAGCTTTATCTTTATTGTCCACTCTGCATATAATATAAATAAATTCTCTCAGGCTACAATGCAATGTTTTAAAAATAATTTAGCTTCAGTTACAACTGAAGACCAGTTACAATGAACACCACTCAAATGTTGATCTTAGTAGCGCACTTTCTGTTTGGCACGATACTCTTGATATTAAACCCGCGCGATGTCCGTCACTGGGAGGCACTGCCACATGCCAAGAACTGTGCCATTCGACCCACTCCTCCAACTTGCCACCCACCACCACCACCTCTTACATACTGCTTCGTCCAAGTCATTGACCTTTATATCGCACTTCTTCCCTTAGCGGCCCCCCACCCATCACATTTCTCCGCTACAATACACGTCTAATATAAATTGCCCTGCATTAAAAATTTATATCCACAATTAAGAGGTTTGTCATCTGTTGAGCAGTATGTTGCAACATACAGCCCAGCCGCCACTACGCAGCTCTGAACGCACACAACCGTTGTGGTGATGAACTAACTGGATAATGACTAGGTAACAGCAATCTCCAACGGAGTCGGGTTTTGTTTTGCTTTATCTATAACAAAACATTTTGTTTCTGGATACAAACAACACCTTACTTTTCACAAAAATAAAGGCAAGTAATCAAAGACACCCATAATATGAACAAAAACTTAATAACATGTTCATTCCCACGTGCGTCTTGTTTGGCACACAACTCAAACCTTACGTCTCAAACTCATCGTGTCTCACACAGGTTGCCTCTCTCTTGATCAGTTAGAGCTTACTAGATATGCAAATAATTTGTTCACGTTCGGTTTTATAAACACACTATGTTCTGAAGATTCCATAAAATGGCAGTGGTGGAAACGACATTCGTCGCCCGTTTATCAAATGTGACAAGTACACCAAGGTTCGTGCCTCAATGGTGCGTCTTAGCAAAATACCTGCCACACACTCACAAGCACTGATGTACGCTCAACTGGTGCACAAGAGTGCGACAGCCACACACCGCCAGTGAAATCTTACAAGGGCCCCTTAGGCAGATGACACCCCCCTCCCCTCTGCTGCTCACCAGCTCTCTCTTTTCTCACCATGCATTCTTTTCTTTATTTTCACACTATACTGTTAGCGTCTTATATAGAGTTGACATTCATGCCATTTAAAAAAAAATATTTTTTAAAGATAATTATCATTCACAATAATGATACTAGAGGTATATCACTAATGACCGATTCATACGTACGTATATACAAAATTAAGCACAATATCAAGCATTGTAGAGCAAGACATCCATCCCAAACAACGTCGACCTTTAATTCCATGTAAGTAGCCACTACGATTACAAACAGTTCGAGATTGAGAAACTGGTAAAGCTAAGAGCTTATACTGAAGATCTTAAGAAATAAAAACACAATCCGCTCTTCCCCCACACTATGAACAAAATGCAGATTAACTGCGTGAGCATACACCAACAAGAGAATGAATGAATAGCAGGGAAACTTAAGGTCAGGGAGATGCTTTCATGCCGGTGAGGACTCTTTGATTCAAGGAACTGGACCTATCATTCCTTTCCTTGGATCAAACCTGATTACTTCTTATTCCCCCAACTCGCTGTATAACCCCTACGAATTTACGCTCAATAATATTAATATTGATAAATTAGACACATGTGCAACTCTTGGGTATCTTTATTGAGGAAACGTTTCGCCACACAGTGGCTTCATCAGTCCATACAAAGGAGAAACTTCAAGAACAGGAGGAGAATGAGGTAATCAGTCCCTCAGCCTTGAGTCGATGTGGTCAGTCCATCAATCTTGAATAGACTGATGGACTGACCACATCGACTCAAGGCTGAGGGACTGATTACCTCATTCTCCTCCTGTTCTTGAAATTTCTCCTTTGTATGGACTGATGAAGTCACTGTGTGGCGAGTTTCCTCAGTAAAGATACCCAAGAGTTGCACATGTGTCTAATTTATCAACATGTCGGTTCTCTGAACCATTGATCTACAATATTAATATTGTTAGAGGGTAGGGAAATATGGTAATTGCATCTTTATTTTGAACTCACTATCACTATTTTATGTAATATGTGCTCATTACTGCTCACAGAGTGAACATTTAAAGGACATTAATTTACCAATTTTTACACAGAAAAACTTCATATTGAGCAAATATAATAATTTAGATGATAAATATGATAATGCATCTTTATATATTGAACTATATACTATTTATATAATATGTATATTACAGATATAATATTTAAATGACATTAATTTACTAATTTTTACAAAATAAACTATATACTGGAGGCAAATACGAAGTAAATTATAAATAGTATAATTATTTATAAATATAACTATTATATATTATATTTTATTTCATTTATTACTAAATAGATATATATATATATTTAATAAAATATAATCTAATATATATATTAAATCTATAAATAATAATAAAACATGTAATAGATATATATATCTTATTTAAAAAAAAATAAATATATATCATACACTAATATGAAATACATGCAAAGTTTTCATAACAACGGAGTGTTGGCAGAATCTATCAAGATCACCGCTGATACCACCTGTATATTTACCGGTGCAACAGTATAACCTATTTATTATCTTATGACTTTATATGTAGTTTTTATTTTACTGAAAATCAAAGCAAATGTTCACGATGTTCAGAACGACCAAGATGCTAACTAACTGCTAATAAAAGTCTATAAAATGGGAATACATAGCAACACCATGCGTAACTCGAGGAAACAATATTCTAATACAATTTTCCTTCAGTTTAAGCACACAAAAGCAAATGCAATTTAATGCCTACACTACATCACTGCGAAAGTTACCATGCAAACCGCCCTTTTATCATGCACACAAGCAGAATTCAGGTGGCAAACTAAAATCATGCGATGCACACTGGCACTCATGCTTCCCCAACAATACGTTTCACTGATTTTTCCGTCCCAATACCTATATATATATATATTTTTTTTTTCAAACATCGGTCGTCTCCCACCCACAGGTGACCCAAAAAGAAGAAAATCCCCAAAAAGAAAATACCCAAACCCCTCCTTTAAAGTGCAGGCATTGTACTTCCCATTTCCAGGACTCAAGTCCGACTATATGAAAATAACCGGTTTCCCTGAATCCCTTCACTAAATATTACCCTGCTCACACTCCAACAGATCGTCAGGTCCCAAGTATCATTCGCTCCATTCACTCCTAACACGCTCATATATTATATAATATATATATATATAATATATATATATATATATATATATATATATATATATATATATATATTATATATATATATATATATATATATATATAATATATATATATATATATATATATATATATTCAACCAAATTTATAAGGAATATAGCGTTTTAAAGTATACAATTAGCGTATAAACTGATAACTATTTACATATACTGTATATTTTAATTTTTTAGATTTTGCCTCCGAATTTAGCAGCTAGTTTATTGTGCATACCACATCCATCCTGTGGACGGTAGCCCCTTGAGGGTGAGAGATTCTTGATCCAAGGAATTTAACATGTCCTCCCCGTTCTTGAATTGAACCTAAGCGCCTTCCATTCCCCAAGCATTGTATGATCTCTACCGCTTTGCGTTCCTCCATGAATGTAATAGTAATAATGTGGACAATAAAGCAAGAGTATGGACACAAAATGCCGAGGGACTAGGCCCCAAAATTGTTAACAAGAGTATATTTGAATATTCATCTAAAATTTGTTTCATCTGTTACAGGAAAATTTACGAAATTTGCTTAAAATGTCTCGTACATAATTGCAACAGCGAAAAATACGTGTTACTGTGTTCAGTTGAAGCCATTGTGCTAGTTCATCATAAGTTGTCCAGTTTTCTGCATTAAATAGTCCACGGCAACAGAAAACGGAGTTAGTTTCATCATCTATGATTCAGTCTTGCTAATGTCGCACGAACAAATTCTTACCTAAATACATGAATATACTTTCGCCTGGTCAACCAGGCTGAGGAGAGTATATATGTATAATATATAACTTTACATTTGACAGGTTTGAAGAGTTCTACTTCAGGAGCCCGGTCCTGAGCCAAGCTTGCTGGTCAACCAGGCTCCTGCTACTGGTTGGCCGCTGGCCCATATATCCATCACAGCCTGGTTGATTCAACAACGAAGAGCAAGAGGCACGTGGATACCCAAAAAGGCAATGATTACTGACAGCTAATTTTGCCAAGGTTTGAGGGCAGGTGTCACATCTTGTCCAACCAACAGCTCAGTAAGACAGATACAAGTGCATGCGTCATAACTAAAATTGTACCAAGCATCGTGTTAATAAATACATATTAGTTATAGCATTAGTTATAAAATATAGCATGCGATGCTAACCTTGAGTTTCCCTTAGCAACCTAGTAACTTTTGGAACTTTTCTAGTAGCGTGGGTCCCGGGGAGGGGCAGGGTCGTGCCTGGATCCAAGGGGGCGGGGGAGTCGTCTGACGTGGAGGCCCAGCCTATATAGCAACCACCACAAACCCACCACCACAGTCAAAGAAAAAACGGGAGAGTGGAGGCGCTATGTAAGATTGCGAAACAGGAAAAAATGGCAGTCTATATGCTAAGTTTGTCCTATTCAACAATGAGAATTACTTGCTAGTTGCATATAGTCATAAAACTAATTATTTCAGCTAATGTACAGATCTACAGCCATCAAAAGCTTTTGGAGTCTCAAAGAGAGCTTATATGTGTTTATTCCTTAATCACTATCTAACCCCTAGCTTTAGTAACTAAAAAAATAAGAATTTTCAAGCTTTAAAACTTACTAGTAACAGTGATTGATCTTTCTGGGTCGTAGCTCAAACTCACAGACCCTGGTACGACTGTATCAGACTCATTCTGGTCGTCGTGTTCATCCGAGTCCGTAAGATATACCGGGTTAATCTGATACATATCCCTGAATGTCCTAAAACTATAATCCACCTGATTCATTTTCTCTGGGGTGGACTCCACGCTCCCTTCATATCTGAGTGTCCGCAAACTGTCCGTGGCGTCACGCTGCATCTTCTCAGGCAACAGTTCCTGAACCTGGTAAGACTCGTAGACCAAGTCTGGTACACTGAAGGTCGGGGAGGCGGATTCTTCGCGAGGAGGAGATTGGGATCGGGATCTTGACAGAGACAACTCGTCGGAGCCCTGTACTCCTGAACTGGAAGCTGGCGAGGACCCTGGTAGAGGGGAATCTTCCCGTCCACCATGATAGTCGTCTGCAAGACCACCACCAGCATCCTCCCTCGTATTCGCACTTGCATGTAGGCCACGTTCACGTTGCAACCTAGGACCTACTATTTCATTTATTCTTGACCTAATATCTTGGGAATGTCCTTCACCCTCTCCACTTGTACCTTCCGAATTGCTTGTCATGCTGTCCTTTACTTCAGATTCGCGATGTTCATTATCTTGAGTTTCTACACCCGTTTTTGTGCAATCGTCTAACAAAACACCCTTACTGTTATCACTCAAGAGTGGTGGAACACAGAACTGCTCATTCTTGTTTTCTATACTCATTTTATCAAGGTCATTATCATAAATATTTGTTGCCATACCAAACGCTCTAGTAGCTTCATCGGGGCCACACATACACGGAACTTCATAAACAATTTCACCTGACTGAGGCAAGCTCTTAGCATTCTCACAAACATTTGCAACCATTTCTAAGCCACTCGCCTCCAAAGAAGGATCACCTAATGAACGAGGACTCCCTTCTTTAACATTAGCGCTCTTAAGCTCTGACTGTGAATCAAACTCTGAATCAGTGTCGTACGAGTATACAAGATTCAATGTCTGCGTGCCTACTACATCTGGAAAAGACTGAACGTAGTCAAACCGATCTGTGCATAAACTAGGTTCAGCATCAACATAAAGAGGATCTTTCGTTTCACTTATACCTGCTAAAGAGGACTCTTTATTTGATATGAAATCGTTTTGCTCAACCATAATGGTAGATAAGCTGTGTTCATCATGTTTTTCAGAAACAGTTTCTGAATACATATTTTCTTTACTAACATCCTCATCTGTTTCCGAAAGACTCGTTTCTTCGCTTGATTCACTATCAACTACATATTCAGTAAGAACCTCTGAAGGCATCGCCACTGTACAAGCTTTTACAATATAGAAATCGTCATTCTCTGTTGACGACGTTCCAGATGAAGTGTCACCACTCTTATCTTCACTGGGACCTGTAACTTCGATGGTAACACCAGGGAGAACATCGATGACGGTGGGAGAGTGGCAAACAGCTTTGCCAGAAGTTTCTATTTCTGGCATTTGTTCTAAGGTTGTCTTAATTCCTATTTGGCTATCTCCACATTCGCTATCCAAACTTTCAGAGTCTGTGATCTTTCCTGTTATGGGAAAATAATCAATGCACAGGGTCTCTATAACACTGGTTGAACTCTTGGACGTCACGAGGTTGCCCTCTGTGTGCGTGTCTGCCAACAGATTAGAAGGTTCTTCTACAGTATCTGAATCACCTAACTCGTTGCTGCAAGATAAGTTTAAGGGACTTCCATGTTGGGCTTTGAATTTTTCTGTCTTTTCCTTCCAACTTTTGCCACGCACAAGCTTTGGCCTCTCCTTAATGTGCGTAGGCTTAACCACTGGCTCAGTCTTGGCTTCTTTTTTATTTTTCTTGCCTTTCTTCTTCCCGGCTTTCTTTCCGCTGATCTTGTCTTTTTCTTTGCTACTTTCTGAGTTTCCTGGGCATATTCTGTCTTCTGGGATCTCAGATGATGGTGATAAGTCACCTAACTTATCATTTGAAATATCTAAACCAGAAGTCTCTGATGTGCTACACTGATGCTGCCCATCTAACAAACGTACGTCCTTGTCTTGGCATTCGTCTGCGCTCTTCGAAACATTTTCTTCACCTTGTAATGGTTTTACGTTCACTATCAGATCAAGAGGCTCTTCATCACTCACTACAGTGTGGTCAGACGTTCCTACACATTTATCTTCACACGGAACCAATTCTCCTTCAGATTCAGTTTCAGAGCCATAAGTAGCTGCAGATTTTCTATCATGGCATTCATAACCAATGGAGACCTGTGGTGACTGTTCCCGTTCAAATCGCAAAGCCGGAGGAAGCTGATTTTCTTCGGAAATGAAAGAAATTTCTGCGGGCGACTTTATTCTCCCTTCAAATATATCTTTTTCATTATCTACATTGGTGCTAACATGCGAATCTATAGGAAAAGACTCTTTTTCTTGGTCCTCCATGAGCGCTAGAAACACAGCTTGAATATCCTCCTTGGTGATTACGTTGTCACTGTCATCGCCATAATCGTTGTTGAAACTGGACAGTTCTTCAACTATGTGGTCCCCTGTTTCCACATTTTGCCAGCCTTCCACCTCCAAGCTCTGTCCTCCGAGAAATTCACAAGGTTTGCCACTGACAATTTCAGAACTGCTGCCGCTCAGTTTTGTCTCCCATTTATTGTCATCATCTTTCACCTCACAACATTCTTCTTTAGATACATCAATGAACGGTATATTACTGTCAGAGCCTCCTTCCTGTGACTGAGGGTTAAAACTTACAGAGTCTTTGCTTATTTGAACTGTATTTTCACCATTCGTTAACTCACTACCATCGACAACCAATTTTTCCTGTTCGTTAAATAAACTACTTTGTGTTTCTCCTTTTCGCATCTCATTTTCGTCCTGTACGTCGTGACTTACACTCTCGCAAGGACTACTCATGAAAGAAGTACTAGTTATATATTCCTCTGGGTCGCCTGTTGCCTCTGTGTGGCCCTCAGTCGCAGATTCTCCATCAGTTTGACAAAAATCTCCACATATATCCAACTCTCTTTCACAATCAATAATATCCTCTTCCCTAATGTCATAGTTTGTCCCACTTGCCTCAGCTTCACCGTCACTGATGTCTTCCCAACAGTCAATCACATTTTCATCTTTGGGTGTACTGTACTTACAATATTCACTGATATTGTCAAGATCGAAGGTGACCTTCAAGCCTTTACCATGCTTTTTCTTATTTCTAGATATAGGCTCCTTCAAGACACCTTTTCCGTTCACTTCAGGTACCAGGTGGCCCTCCCGCTGAGGTGTGGGTATCTGGGGTCGAGTGACTGGGGACGCGGGTGGCGTGAGGACTGGGAAAGCTGGGTCGGCCTGGCGCCTCCCCTCACGGATCTTCTCTCGCCTAGCCGCCATCAACAAGGCTATCTTCACGACAGATATTGCTTTAATAGCCCAGCTAGGGTAAGTCTGTTATGCATCAATGGAATCAATAATTATTACATGTCAAACATGCGTCAAAATACTGCTACGTAAATTGTCTGCGTCACTAAGAGGGCTACAAGTTTAGTTTTCCAACTTCCTTACTTCTCTCAGTAATACACGCCAACCAAAGTTCATTTGCCCTCGTATTCATCAGTAAGGCCAAAGGTCAGCCGTATGTTCACTAGGTATCAGGCCACGAGCTACAATCAACGCTACCAGTACATATATATTAAAGTGAACATAGTTACTAGGTCCAAATACAAGAGTAAATATTTATATATTCACTGTTCAAGTCCCTTGATAAGCACATTCCATGGCATGTTGACAGCATGACCCCTCGTCTGCTAAAATAGCTTACCTTTAACATCGTCAAGCAGTTTTTTTTTTTTTAATCCTATCACACTGGTGACAGGCTAATGAGCAAGAACTTTTGTCACCTCGATCTTGGTCCTTATTATTTGTTTGTTAACTCTTAATTAAAATACGGATGAGAAGGGTGTAGTGGTAAGCCCAAGTGATGGGGTGAGGAATACTGCTCAACCACATGTGTGGGTCGGCCGCTGAATGGAGGGGATAGCATTAGCAACGCCCACGTGGATGAGACAGTGGTGGGGACTTATAACAGGAGTTCCCGTTTCAGTGGGAGAACAAGTGCCATGTCTTCACTGCACTTTCGATTCAATTTTCAGGCAATGTGAAAACAATTATAAGTTAATTTGTCCTCGAAATTCTGTTCCGCATAGCAAAACTGTTGTGGACGTAAACACCATATTTTTTAATGCGTTTCCATTAATATGGTTGACGCTTGCACAATTCAGCCTCAGGTACAGAGTCAACATTAATTAACGAGTGAGAAATCAGAAATCCTCAAGAGCTTCACAAATATACCACCCAGGCACACCAGTCAACACTGGCATCACCAAGCCCCCCTTGTGTATGTGCATGAGTATGTGCCAAATAGCTACCCAGGGGAGACGCAGCTCGTCTTGTTTGGGAAAGTCAAGTCCCCAGCAGTGCTGCACCAAATTACCACCAGCACTACCACCACTGCCACTAAACACACCACACTACGCTGTGCAGCTGATATCTACAACACTTATCTTCCGTCAGCACTTGTGATAATGATTCTCTTTATCCAGCACCAACATCATTTATCACGATGTAACATTAATTTATCAAAATACTCTACACTTTTAAATTATTTTTGTATTACACC